GGTGATATACGGATTTACGTTTGTGTATATTCGTGAAAGTACCTATCCGTCCTCGTCCTCGAAATTTCTCGAATTTCCGACGCTTTATTGCTAACGCCACGTACACACACGGAACACTATCGCTTTACGATAGGCAACGCACAATGAAAAAGTACAGCGAAGGAAAGAGGTCATATCCGGTTCACGAGACGAGAAAGTAACGACGATTCATGATAATTAAATCAGAACTCTAATGCGATTTCTAATTATGCAGAGAAATACATTATCGACTGAGGGTTATTCAAAGTTTTTAAACAGATTTTATTACTATTTTTTTTTTTTTTCCTTTTTTTTCTTTTAAGTAAAATTGAGAGTTATGAGAACGAATTATATAATAGTAAAGTTTATTTCGAATCAATGCCAATAACGTTTGACGTTTCATGGAAAATATGGTAATCAACCGAAATTATCTGGCAGACTATTGAGTACTATTACTGTTTAAAAAATACAACAAAATAACGATGCCTCGTTAAAGAAATTTGAGTTGGATATAAAATATTCCAGAAAGTTATATAACATCTAAATTTAAATCAAAGTATCATTTAAAGTAAAGAATCAAATGATACAAAAACTAATTAAAACAATAATCGATTCAATTTAATTTAATTTTATTATACAAATTATTATTGAAATTTCTATCATAAGGTTAAATATTAAATATATTATATTTTTTATATTATATTATATTATTATTTATTGTATATAATTTTTTATATTACAATACTAAATGTAAAGTTTGAATCGTCAAACAACTATTTTTGAAAATATTTTTTTCAAATTACTTCTAATAACTTTCAGATTATATTTTACAAATATCTTAATACAAACTATGATATCCACATTAATAATTTATATTTTACTTCTTTACTTTGATTACAACTATCAAATCCATATCAAACAAATGTTTTAAATTTTTACTTTGAAATAGAAGAATATAGTGAATTAGGATGAATTATTTTATTGATAAAGTTATTTACATTTCGATGAAAAAAATTTTGTTAACTGTATAACATAGTATGAAAATAAATTAATAATTTAAATAACTAAATAAATTAGTAATTTAAACAACTAAGGACAATTTGCCATTTAGGATGGTACATGAAATTTTTGCACATGCTCTTAATATTAGGATACTTTATGTCTCTGGAAACGAGAAATCTTGTGAAACTTTCTTAATTACAAATTTTACAATTAATAATTTAAAAGAATCGAACGAATTATTTTTGAAATTGAAAAAATCTAAATTTGATTTTCTCTTAATATTTCTATTGTCTTATGTCATCATTATAACTTTCATTTTAAATCAACCAAAAAAAATATTTCGTGAAAAACATTCTAAATAATAATTAAGAGCTAATAATATCATTTTCAAATCTGCAAATTTTCTACTTTTAGTATAAATGTAGTATAATAAATTTTAATTCTATTAGAATAGAATATTATTTTAATATAAATTCTAATAAACGTAAAAAAAAAGTTGGCGTATATGTTCATTATTCTAAATGTTTAAAACATTTGAGACTTCGCACTTTTTATTGAAAAATTCCCATCACAGAGCTTTTATAAAATTTTATATCCATGTACATGTCATTAAGAAAAGATCAGTCAAGATAAACTTGAAAATTATTGCTCAATTATTTTAAAAATAATTGATTTCTAAATATTATTTTAATATTTTTTCTCTTTTCTGAACTTCTTGTCTTACGATTTTTTCCTCAGTGAACATTAGTTATTACACGTTACATCGTGTCAAGTGTAAAGCATTGAAAGCATTATATATAATTTATATTTATTAATCTTTTAGTTTGAAGAACTAAAATTGAAAATCCAATTTCATATTTCATAGGATTGTAATAACGAGCGCAACTCGTTATTATAACTCAAAAGGTTAAGCATTATTTAGACTATAAATAACGTGATTTGAATATAAGTGACATGTACATTGAATATTACATTTTCATTTTCATTAATTATAATTACGTTGCGGAATGTAACAATTAAAGGGAGTAGTTCTGTATGAAAAAATTCGAAACATAGAGTACAACTCATTCATAGGAGATTTACCTAAAAACACTAATTTTAAATATTTGTTTAATATATTTGCATTTAATTGTAATTCAAATCTAATTATTACATTTTAATGAATTTAGTTTGTTATAGATCAATATCTCTGCTCATTAATATTTGTATATATTGCATAATACAATGAATAAAATTAAGCGAAATATTATTTAAAATTTAGATTTTTAATTGTACTTAATTCATGATAGATATTTTTAATACAGTTTAGATCGAAATATAGCGTATGTGGAAATATACTTATTATTTCAGTATTTTTGTTGAAACTCTTACGAATAATAATTATTTCAAATTTTTAGTGTTTAATATAGATTTTAAATCTACAATTTATGATTTCGTTGATAATCTTGGACAGTTATCACGAGTTAAACAGTAGAAATAGACAGTTTAAATATTGTACAAGAGCATACATTAAAATAGCCACTATTATTTGCTCTTGGATAATACTGAAGATTTTTGTAAAAATCTTACTCTCGTGAAATTTAATTATAAAACAAGCAATTATAATTTGATTTCTTGAGATGTAAGTAGATTTATTGATTTTGACATTTCTGGCAATTCAGTGAAGTTTAAATAAATTAATCGATGCAAACTGAGTATCTCCATCCTAGAATAACGCAGGAGTTTCGAAGTCATTTCCGCGTTAAGTGTTGAAATTATTCTTGAACGTGAAATAATATAAGAGGTACGAAGTTACTTTCCTCCTCGTGAAATATTATAAAAGTTTCAAAGTTACTTTTTAACATAATATAATCGTTTTCCATTTACTCTTATATATTACATATCAAAGTTACACCAGGATGCAGGATATATATATATATATATATATATATATATATATATATATATATATAAATA